ATAAGGCTGAGACCATGAACGACTATTATGTGGCAGTAGGACCAAACCTGGCCCTCGCAGTTAAACCCAATACCGAATTTTCGGGACGTAGAACATATCTACAGAATCACTCCCACCCTCTCCGGAATTAGTCCGAACAAAAAAGACCTCCTTAGACATATCACGTCTATCAACCCCAACAAAACCTGTGGCCCAGACTAGATTGCCCCACGAGACCTGCACCTCATTAGTAAGGCCTCTACAGTACAGGGCCTTTTCATCGTCTTTAGATATAGCCTGCTTAACTCTACTATCCCATCCCAATGGAAAGTACCCAGAATGCTTATCGCTCACAAGAAGGGAAACAAATCAGACAGAGGAAATTACAGACCTCTCCAAATGCTGAGTTTACCAAGCAAATTATTAGAGGGACTATTGTGTCAGGGTCTAGACGGCTTCATCGTAGACATCGGGCAACTGAACGGACAAACAGTGGGGTTTTCGACATGGCAGATCAACTGGGGAACTCATGATATATTAATCTACCTGATCCAAACCTGGAAAACAGCTGTTGACAACAGAAAGGCCCCATTGACTTCCAAAAACCATTCGACCCAGTGTCCCAGAATATAGCACTGAAGCCTTACAGTTCTCTGTTGACCTCAGTACCTTGACAAATTTTAGTTTGAATTGTTTCCCATTTCCTCCCGTTGTTGAATTGCAGCGTTAGCAAAATTTGGATTTATTTGCATGACATTTTCGTGCAAAATTTGACAATCACTTATTTGTTTCATGTATCTTAACATCGATTTTTTTAATGGCAAATTTGAATATTTTTGTTTTCATGGCGATGGCAAATATTTGAAACGCAAAATTATCATCAAAACACAATGTAAATTCCAGAAATTCACTAAGAAAATAAAAATGAATTTGACTTTACTTCGGTCATTTTCTATAAAGTTAAGTGCAAATACTGAGTAAAACGAAGAAATAAGGAGGAGCTGAGCTGACAATTTGATCTACATTTTAATTGCGTTTTCATTATTTAACGGTTAGCAAATTTACCTGCCACTCAAACTGAAAATGAAAGTTCAATAATCAAAGAACGATAACGAATAGCTTGGACTGCATTTTAGACGCGGGACAAAAATCTGTTCTCTAAACCATTGATTCAAAAAGAAAAAAAAACCCTGACGTTAGCTTAAGAACACGATTGAAACTTTAAGCGTAAAGGCGAATTTACCTTGCTTCATTTTGATTTATCTTCACCGTGAGATAGACTTTCCTTTTGTAGTTGTCGACACTCGTCAGGATGATGATGTACACAAACAGTCCGTGCTGTAAGTGGCCGTAAGTGCCCTGAAATACCTTAGTGTTGAAAGGGCGTGGTCGTATTTTTCCGCATTACTTGCATTTTATTTACCTCCAGAATTAAGGCTTTAGTAAAATTGATTTCATAATTGCCGCTTTCTGGGGAAACTCCGGTCTGAAAGTCAAACTCATCATCAACTGAAACTAGCTTCCTTCTTCAATTTTCATAATTAGTCCAATTGACTCGCTGAACGTATTGGTTATACTTTTTTCCTTCACTGAGCTAAAAACTATTTTCAAATCTCACAATAGATTCTTCAATTGCTATCTTATGTTTTGTATCATCATCATAACAAATCTAATTCTGCTATCGTCTTTGGAAAGAATATTACCCCTTACGGTAAAAACCTATTTCGGTTTTGCTCGTT